TGAAAATTGTTTATTGTAGAACTTTTTACGTAGAATACAGTGGCGTAGTCTGTTTTTCTAAAAAAAAATATTTTTGAAAATATGAACTAAAGTTATGTTTTTTTAAATAGAACATCCTGTATATTTATAAATCATATGATCTGTCTTGCCATAAGCTTCTTAAAAATATATATCACTCTATTTTTATTTTCACTATTTACTGCAATATTTAAAAGTTTTTATTAAAAGATCATATTTATTAGTAGGCCATGATTGATAATAAAAGAAACTAAAGAATTATTAAAAGTATACTGCATCTGTCTCTTGTTTTATTTTGGGAGCCGCTAATAAATTCTTTATATATTAGGGAAACTTAACTCTCTACCGCTATTTATAAATCGTGGAATATGTGTATACGTAAGAATAATCTATCGTATCGGAAATTTTAGATATTCCTTTAGCTAATTTACGTGAAATATACTTTCAGCAAGATGGGGAACATTCCCCTCATAACTATGGAAATATTAGAATACTGTTAAATTATTATTTTTCAAATCATTAAATTGGAACCAATGAACGCATATTGATAGCCTCCTCGATTCCCGGATTTCGCCGTTCTCGATTTCTGATTTTGGGAATTTTTGAAATACGAAATATATCGTAGGCACTACAACAATGTCGAACGCCTGAAAAATGCTTTAATAATTCAAGATTTAGATATTTGCAAACCCATCCCGTTATAAAAAAAAAGAAAAATATATTCACAGTTTCAGTGGTAACAGTTATTTCAAAAGTAAAATATATCAATCCCAAATAAATTTTAATATGTGTATGACTATTTTAGTAAATACCATTTTGATTTTTTGTTATTTATCACGGCCCACTAATCAGAAAATGATATATTTTAAATATTGCAGTAAATAGTGAAAATAAATATAGAGTGATATATATTTCTGAGAAGCTCATAGCAAGACACATCATATGATTTATAAATATACAGGGTGTTCCATTTGAAAAAACATAACTTTAGTTCATATTTTCAAAAATATTTTTTTGGTAAAAAAACAGACTACGACACTGTATTCTACGTAAAAAGTTCTACAATAAGCAGTTTTCGTCTTCTCGATACCTTTAACAATAACAGAGATACAGGGGGTGTCCCAAATTGCAAAATTTTCGAAAAGACCCTGTAGCTCAGAAATGAAGAGGACTATGAAAATTTTGTTTGCAGCATCTTCCGTTTGACGAAAAAGTGGTTTTTAGAAAAAAAGGTTTGTGCAAACCGCACCCTTCTATCTTCACTAATAACGGAGATTCCCTATGATTTCAACCAAAATGGGACACACTGTACATTGTGTACTACGATTGTTGCTTAAAATTGAAGGAAGAATTGAAATATGCAATAATATACAGGGAGTTTCATTAAAAAAAATAAAGTTTGATGTGCCACAACTTTATGACCGATCCTGTATACTTAAATTTACTAGTAACTAACAGGCATTTAAAACCCCATTACAACAGTATCACAGTTTCGGCAAAATGGCATCGATAAATCCTTCATAAAACCGATTTTTTAAGCCGATTTGTCTAACTGACGTGACGTGATGTCACAAGACAAGACGCCCTGACGTGACGTCACAATAGGTCTTATGTTGGTTACAATTTTTCGATTAAATAGTCGTGTCTAGGTGTGACACATAGTCAAAGGTTTGCCACCGCAAAAAATATATCGAATCAATAAAGTAATTTTTGATTAGGTATTTCGATAAATTAAAGAAAAACCCTCGTCACGATTGATTTATATGTTTTTTTCGTGGTAAATCGAGATCCAGGGGCAAGTTAATGAGAGAAGAAAAAAAAGCGTTTTTTTAACTCCCGTTATCATCCCCCCACCCCTTTCGACATTGATGTCGGTTTTTCCAATAATGAAAATTCCTGGTCGCACGCCAATGTGTTCCCTCTCTCCCTCTGTACTTACGCTCTCTAAATTTTTTACCGCCCCCTATGATTAATAACCTCGACTCGTAAAACAAACGAACGCGTCGTTCGGGGAATAACAGCGAAAAAAACAATTGAAAATGGACCTGGAACTCTATAACGGACAATGTAGTCCCGTAATCACGGTGTATGATGGGCTCAGAGAAATAATTAAACGTAGAGTGATACTGAGGGCTGGCAAAGGTTAGTCTTGGGTCGAGATTTCCGTATGCAAGAAGAGTACAAAGTGTTTATAATGTGCTGAACAAAGAGAGAACAGTAAAAACGTTGCCAAACGTATGAAATAAACCGAGAAATTGTGCACATTGCTAAGAGACGCGGAAGGGTATATTATAAGCTTGGTACTTTTGATCTCTACTTTGTTGATCACGTTAAAATAATATTGAAATCGTGGTTTTGTCATAATATTTAAGTATTTTAATTTTTTGCTAGTGCAGTTATTGAGACTATAAAACACTCAGGCAGAATATTGAGACCGGGCGAGTACCCTATCTGGCGCCCCCCTCCTCACAATAGTTATTATAATTCTCTTTTTTTCAATACTATCCTTTAACTACAACTAAGCATATTTATGCTACTTTAATAATAAATTTTCACTTAAAGATACTTCAAAATTCTACTCTTCTTTCAATCTTAGTCTGCGGTTGTTGTTTTTTGTATACCGGGTGCGTCTCGAAATTACCTCAACCCTTAAATTTCAATGTAGAGTGCCATGGCTCTGTTAAAAACACTAATTTTTAAACAAGGATCGAGCCTTGGAAAAATAAATTTGATTGTCTAATGTTTTTCGTGTCTTGTCCTGGCCGGTCCAAAATATGCCAAAATCGTATTTTTAATCGAAAATATCAAAAGATGACATATGTCATAAAGTAGAAATATACCGAGGGTGCCATTTAAAAAAGTTGTAGTAATTTCCGGTGAAAGAAGAAGTGACCAAAAAGAATTAAATGCGTCAATTAATCCTAATTTGTCATTTACTAACATACCAAATTTCGTTTTTTTTCTGAAAAAATAAATAAGTTAGAGGGGTGAGCCACTTTTGAGACGCACCCGGTATATGGAGTTATGAGAAATAGAATTCCAACTTCGGTAGTCTCGTTCTGGTATAAGTGATCCTTGGAAATATTAGTATTTAGTTTCAAGCAGTTGCATTATTTTTCTATATGAATTTAAGAAAATTTTCTTTTCTTTTTCACAATCAATTATTTCGTGCAGAATCAGTTTATGATCAGATACAGTTTTGTCAGCTTCAAAATGAGGTTCAGCCAGTGTTTGAGATGCATTCCTTTGTCTTGCTCTAATGAGAAAATTCTACGATTCTGCTACCATTTTCCGTGTATTATTACATATTCAATTGGGAATCTCAAAACCACCAAAAAATTGATATATTTTCCCACTACTATATAAATTAATTTAACTAATGAGGCAAACATATAAGAGAGCTTTTTTTTTGGATAATAAGGATATCGAGATCCTCTTCAGCTTCTTGCGAATGAATATTTACCTCCAATATTTACCAAACCAAGCCATTAATAACAAATAAAAGGGTAGTAGAAAAAGTGCGATTTTGAGCAGTCAGTCTAAAACTGCCAATTTTGCTGGCTCTTGACCCAAAACAGTTTGTTTAGAGAAAATTTATAAAAACAAGAATTATAGAAAGAAATGTTATTTACAAAAAGTTGATAGCTTTTGAATTATAAGTAAAATACTACGAACAAATCAGATTTATATTTTTTTTATTTTATTTTGTTTAAGATTTTTCCACGAAAATGAATTCGCAAATCCCAGTTTCAAATAGGGCACCCAAAAAACATATAGAACGGAAGAAATTAAAACTATCCCAAAGCTTTCATGCAAAGGATTTTTTGAGCATAATTTCAGTAAACTATAATAGGATACGTCTAGGATATAGTAGTGTTTATAATGTTTAGTCAGATATTCTTCCCTATGTGATGTGGTGTGTGATAATTGGTAATATTTTAATGTGGAAATTTATAGTACCGTTTAATTATTGATCTGGTCATTCGTTACTGTTTTTAAATATTTTAGTTGCCGTCGTGGCCCCTTCCGGCGCCGGCCCTGTACTCAGGTACGAGGGTTGTGTGATGTAACGCTGTTTCGGGTAGTAAAAAACAAGCGAAAAAGAATTCGAACTTCAACTTTGTTGACGAATTTGGGTTGTTACACTACAATAGTTTCTCACACCGACCGATTTGATTAAAAGTAAAAATGAATTCAAGCAGTTCGACGAAACAAATGAGTAAACAAAGTGCTCGTTACAGTACGTCTGTCCGTTCTGTGGCTACGGAGTATCCGTGAGAGGGGAAACGATATTCTCTCGATGTTTTTCGTAAAAAATGAGACGACGCGTCCCATCAATAAAAATTGGACAAATTTGCAAGTGGCCAATAAAATGAGTGGGCGGAGCGATTTGCGGTGTCGTACTCGTCAAGTCGACGTATAAAATATATTGCTGTTTATTTAAATGTTTTTTGTCCGCATTCCTTTCATAGACACAGATCCAGCAGACGAACTGTACATAATGAAAAAATTGGCGCCGGGAGGCACGTATAGCCGCCCATACTAAAATATGTTCATATCTCGAAAACTGCGACTTTGACTGATTTTGATGTTATTACAAATTTTGTTGCAAATATTATTGCTAATCTTAATTTGAAAACCGCGTTTTTCTAGCTACTGTAATTTTGGAGTGACGATTTTTTAAAATTTTTAACCCCCTCTCATACCCCCTTACCAACCCCCCACCCCCACCAAAAACTAACGGCCAGATTCTCGGGTGCCACAGTATTTTTGTGCCAAATTTGGTTAAAATCGGTTCAGCGGTTTTTGAGTTATCGTGTTACAGACGGCAGACAGACTGACAGACAGACAGACACCATGAAAATATTTTGTATTTAGGTCATTTATGACCCAAATAACTTTTGAGTTAAATTAAAATATCTCCTGTATTATATGTAACTACGTATATAAAATTATTTTTTTCTATTTTTTTTCAGAATCAAAGACTTTGTTTCCACTTCGCTCAACTAAACAAAAGAAGAAAATCCCTAAAAAATGTGGTGGTCTACACTAAAATGGTTGTTTTTCGGATTGTCCCTTGCCCTAATGAGCACCAACGTGAGCAAGGCGGCTCCATCTAGAGACGAGAATATGTACAGGGAACTCATGAAGCTCGACCAGTTGTACTCCTCAATCGCCAGACCTAGGTACATGTGATTTTTGACAGCTGCCGTGGCACATATTTACAGGGGCGCATATTTAAACAGTGCCGTGGCATATATTTTTCATAACTTAGCTGCTCGAAGAGATATTTATATTTTCGATAAATGTTTTGACTACGCCTATGGTGTATACTGCTTGTGATAGCGAGCAAAAAAAATGTTAACAAAAGGCACAAAACTAGTATCGACGTGTAGCACATAATAATAATCACAAAAATAATTATCAAATACAATAAGAAAACGCTAAAAAGGCAGAGTGGACTGTTTTTTAGCTATAAAACGTAATTCCCTGCTCTTTCTTGTCCTTGCGGCGTTTACACTTGGAAGCTGAACACACTACCAATAGTCCAAAACTATTAAAAATCGGCTCAAACCCGTATATAAGCGTTAAATATCCTTGTATATTTTATGAATAATTGGTATTAATCCTAAATCGGGCTCTAAATATAAGAGATTTTAAAATTCCTGTGCTTTACTAATACAAAAAAGCTTTTGATACATTTTCTTGTTGTTGGTTAAATATTATAAAGTTTAAATTTCAAAAGGCACATTAAAAAAAGAAGTACGAACTAACGAGTGCCATTTTTCTTGAATTCTCCAACAAATTAAATGAGTTTAATTTGAATTCCAGTGCCGAAGCTAGCTTAAAGCTATATTAAATTTATATTGTTGTTTGTTTAAACAAGTTGACTCTGAAAAACGGACAGAAGAATTTATATTGTGGGACTTTGAAGGAAAAAATATATAACAAACATCCGAGTAACATAGTTATTTTGTATATTTGTGTACGACAATTTTACACAAAGCAAATGAAGTTGTATTTGCCAAGAGTAAAAATAACGTTTCATTTTATTATATTATAACAAAAGCTTAAAATATTCTTTAAAATGGACGCGACATTCAAATTTCAAATACGGAATTTTTGGTTATATTTTCTTTGTTCTTAAATTTTATTTACTTTGAAAATGATAATTATTAAAAAAAATCTTAGACCATTTAATAAATAGAAATGTTTTTCAATAGAGACCTTGAAGCCAACATACGACACGTCAATAGACAGTATTTATTCAATAGAGAAATCGCCGAATCTTTTTTTTATAAAATAGTAGTAGAGTATTTTTAGAAATGTTTCCTAATGATATTTCATGTGAACTAGCTTGAGGAGTGTATCTATGCCTGCTGAAATTGGCCAGAAAGTACAGAGAGCGCTACAAATGCTGAGGTTGCAACAACTGGACGACCTGTATGCTCATAAGTCCAGACCGAGGTGAGCGCATGAAGAATCCATGTAATCTGAGGTCAATTTGAGCAATATTTATAAAAAAAGTCAAAAGTCAAAAGATGTCAGCTACAGTTCATGCCAAATAAACTTTTAATCACGTGATTAAGCTTGACCGGCACAGCGTTGCCTACTTTTATACATTTTCTTTTAATCAAACGTCCCATAACCAAACAAATACTATTTTTGCAATGACCTCCGATTTAGTGGAAATGTATATAGGAAAAACCAAACAATTTTATAAATTCGTCTAAAGAAGAGCTTTATATATAAAAATAATATAGTAGTTATCAGGTTACCAGAAAGGTATGCATTTGACATTCATGACGTATAATTTTGTTTGACATTTCCTGTATAGACTTTGTATTTTTTTAACAAATCTTCAGACTGGATCAAATATAAGAAATATGTAATAAAAAACCAATGCTTATACTAGTTGTTTCTGAAAAGTGGTTCACCTCTATAACTTTTTTATTTTTCAGACATATCATATTTTTTATAACATATCATATGGTAGCTTTTGACGTTTTCGCTTTAAAAAATCGTACTTTAAATTTCAATCTAAAGTGCCATGGCTGTGTTAAAAACACTAATTTTTAATCAAGAAGCCTTGGAAAAATAGAATTGATCGTCTAATGTTTTTCGTGTCTTGTCCTGACCGGTTAAAAGATGCCCTAATTGTTTCTTTAATCATATCTCAATTTTTTGAAACGGAACAAGGGTTGGTCATTAGCAGATTTGGAAAAAGCATTTTTTACGAATAATTTGATACCACACACTTGGTATTTCGAGTCAAATTGTCGTCATGAACCACATGTTATAGTCCGTAAAACGAATAACTTTGAATTTGACAGTTCCCGCTGGCTTTTTTAGTGTTTATTTTATTAGGTTAGCAACTTGCGGCCATGCTGACGCAATGCCGTCTCTAATAGAACAGCCTCTCAGCGAGATTTATGACGTCACGCTAGTTAGATACTACGGATTAATAAATATGTTTTAGAATACATGGAAAACATAATTATTCCTCGTATTTTTGGTTTGTATTTGAAAAACAAACATTGATTTTAAAATACAAACAAAAAATACGAGGAATAGTTATGTTTTCCATGTATTCTAACACATATTTATTAATCCATAGTATCTAACTAGCGTGACGTCATAAATCCCGCTGCGAGGCTGTTCTATTAGAGACGGCATTGGTCTGATATTTAGAAATGTCAAAAGCTGATGACATTTTACTTTTGACAATTATGACATTTCGTGTTGATTTTTGGTAGAAGAGGAAGAACTATCACTTGTTTTATTATTTTCCTTTTCTATTTCACGAAAATAAAAAGAGTTACCTATCTGATTCGTTCAGGCATTCAATTTAAAGAATATCAGTAACTTTTTTGACAGATGGATTTTATATTTGCCGTGTTGGTAAGAAATAACGGTGAAAATTCAAAGTTATTCATTTTATAGACTATACAATTTCAAACGAACCATATTATGCGAAAATGTCAAAAGTTGACATATGATATATCATTCTATTCAGAGTGTCATTTTCTATCGAATAAAATAATTGAATACGTCAATCTATCCTGATTTATGTTAAATTCTAACCTACCAAATCTCCTTTTTGATCTGAAAAAATAAAGAAGTTATAGAGGTGGACCACTTTTGAGAAACACCCGGTATAGTTTTAATAATATCTAATCGATAAAGGAGATCGATATAATTACAGGAAACATCGTAATTTTATAAAAAGAATGAACTGAAAAAACTTTATAAACGTTTTCAAAAACATTTTTATCCGGCCAAAAAAAAATGTCCTGCATATTTGGTCCATACTATTTACCTTTAAAAATACAATTCTACCATTGATACGTATCACTAGTTCCTAGTCAAAAAGCCAACTGAAAAGACTCGAATGCAAAATTATTTCCCATGTGAGTACGCACACTGCAACGCGCCAAAACGCGGGAGACGGAAAAAAGTTGCTAGAGAAGTCTCCCGACTTCTTGACGGAAATTCCGCGGCGCGCTTCTGCGCTGCGCGCTCTGATGTGCGTTCGTCCATTTAAATACATGGCAAGCAGACAAAAGAAATTTCCACATGGCGCCGCGCCGCGTCGCGCTGCGGTCTAGTGGGCGACAACCTTAAAAGTGCATGCGTTCTCAATAGGCAGTGTTGTCATTCTGTTCCCTTATAAGTAACTGTCCAGTTAACAACCTGTATATGGATAGTAAGTGACTTATTTAATGTATTTTTTTTTGTTTTGCATTTTTATAGGTTTGGTAAACGAGGTGATGGTCATAACTTGCCGGCAGCTGACTACGAAACCAACCAAATTCAGGTAAAAAACTCATTTTGTTAATAAAAACTCAATTTCAGTAAAGTTATAGACCGAGAGCTGGCTACATAAAAACCCTTATCATCGTTACATGGCTAATTTTTTGTGTGAAGTATCTTTTTGTGTAGCCATTGTGAAATAGTCATGTCTGCCAGCGCGATCACGGGGCTTAAAGCGGGAGCGGCCAATCGAAAGGGTGAAATTTTGACACTAAAAATATTATAAGGTACACGAGTTATAATTGCCAAATAACTTTTATTTATTATTAAGAAACGTGTAAAATTGTTGACAGACATTTTTCTCGTGGCTGAAATGCCGGCAGACAACGCGAAAGAGGCATAGAATTTTGACAGAAGAAAATCATCGCATACATGCATGTCGGTTGGTGGAATGTCATGTTTATTGTTAATTAATTTAAAAAGCCGTATGCAAAAGGGCAGACAAAAAAATCGTTGTTGAAATAATAAAAAGATATATTTATAATATTATCGTATATTATATGATTTATCTATACTTAAATTAATGAGGCGGCCAGCGTTCCCTGAATAAAGCGCTAGGGTAATATCGCGCTTTTGATTGATTGAGCTACGATCTTTTATAGAAAAAACTATTATAATGATTTTTTTTATACATTTATACTAATCGTTTTGAATGCACGATAATATGCATATATTTTACACCTGGTACATTAAACAACAGCATTATACAATATATTACGCAGTATACATTGTGGTTCGCACATCACACTGAAAAAAGAAAGATTCTATTGTACAGCCGCGTTACAATCAACGTCATTTTTGCTCATTGTTGATCGACTGGGTGTGAAAATTATTTTCATATATGCAAATACGACCTGGAAATTATTGTTTTCGATTTAATAGTGGTTTTGTTTCAAGCCAACTGTTAACAGAAGGGTTGGAAATGCAACGCTGGTTCAAATCAGAGCAAAAACCGCTTGTTTTTTTTTATAATAACTTTTTCTTGTTTTTTTTTAGTAAATAATTCTACATATTTTACTAAATAAAATTAGTAAATATGGAATTTTCAAGGGATAGAACACTATAGAGAAATCTTTGTTGTCAATTCCAATGAATTGAATCCATGCTGAATTTTAATATACAGGGTGTCAAAAATACAGGGTTGTTCACCACATACGACACGGAGTATTGTAGCTAAACGATTAGATTTTTACAAATTGTAAGTTTTGGGTTCGATGAAGGACTATTAGAGCTACAATTTAAAAATATTTTTACAAGATACAGAGTGTCCCAAATAAATAAAAAATATCAAAGTTGTATTTTTTTAAATGGAACACCCTGTATATTATTACATTTTTAGTTTCTACGATTAAAATAAAGGTAAATTTGATTAAGATTTATTATACTTAAACCTTACCGTTTTTGAAATATTTTCAATTTTGTGAAATTGCAGTAAAATTTTAAGGCTTCATTTCTCCAAGGGTATCAAAGTTTTTAATACTAAATATTTACTGAAGTTTATTTACTGATCAGTTATTGTGTTGCAATAATAAAAATAATATTACCTTATACAGAGTGTCTAAAAATTTATTTTAAATAATTATTAGCTTCAAACGGCAATAACTTGTTTAATTTAAATGGAACACCCTGTATATTTTACGAGAATCAGATGCACAATTTAATTGTCTATCAAATTATATTATACCATTTTTTACCTATCCCTTTAAGTTTCCGTAGAAAATACATTTACTTGTAATTTGGAACTTATTTATCAATATACCCATGGACTATTGACATTTTAGATTATTTTTAAAGATTTACCAAATTTTTAAAGAGTATAGATACTAATATTGTCGATATTATTCGTTTATTTCATTAAAAAATAAAAAAAAAACTGTTTAAATATTTGTTAAAGAGGACCAATTAATATGATTCCAGTATTCAAACTACATTAACTGACTGTTTGCATTGATTAATAATAATTGCTCCAAATACTAAAAAACTGAATTTTGTATGGGCATTAGACAGTGTGATAAAAAGTAACACCTTAAAAATGATATTTCATTTTTTAATAAATACTTATTTATAACAACAAAGACTTTATTTATAATAATTTATTAACAAACACAATTAAGTATGTCATTAATTAGTATATGGGGGGAAATAATGGTGTTATATTTAATTAATGGTATACTCTTTTATAAAGATTTAAATAGTTTTCTTTTTGCATACAAATGGGCTAGTAATATTATCGTTTTGCTAAAAACTATATTATTACTAGTCTGTACATTTTGTACATTTGTTGCTTTAAAAACAATCTAAAATGTCAATATTCCATGGATATACTGATAAATGAGGTCTAAATTATAAGAAAATGCATTTTCTACAAAAACTTGAAGGGATAGGTAAAAAATGGTATAATACAATTTGATAGACAATTTAATTGTGAATTTGATTCTCCTAAAATATACAGGGCATTCCATTTAAATTAAAAAAGTTATTGCCGTTTGAAGCTAATGATTATTTAAAATAAATTTTTAGACACTCTGTATAAGGTAGTATTATTTTTATTATTGCAACACAATAACCGATCAATAAATAAACTTCATTAAATATTTAGTATTAAAAACATTGATACCCTTGGAGAAATGAAGCTTTAAAATTTTTACTGCAATTTCACAAAATTGAAAATATTTCAAAAACGGTAAGGTTTAAGTATAATAAACCTTAATCAAATTTACCTTTATTTTAATCGTAGAAACTAAAAATTTAATAATATACAGGGTGTTCCATTTAAAAAAATACAACTTTGATATTTTTTACTTATTTGGGACACTCTGTATCTTGTAAAAATATTTTTAAATTGTAGCTCTAATAGTCCTTCAACGAACCCCAAACTTACAATTTGTAAAAATCTCATCGTTTAGCTACAATACTCCGTGTCGTATGTGGTGAACAACCCTGTATAGTGTATCTAACTTCAGTGGATGATTCTACAGATAAAAATAAAACAAAAAGTTCCTATGAACATATGCCCTAAAATTCTTCCCTCGAAAGCATTAGCAAGAACCTCTATGGAGGGTTTCACTCTCCAAGTTACAATTTGATCAGAAGAGGACCAAAGTGACAACCATAATTAGACAACCGTATATTGAAAACTTTCAGTGTATTCCCCGTAAATAAATAAAATTTCTCGAGCAAATCGAAGTGATTGAAAAAAGAAATTATTAGAGAAAAAAAATGATTGTGATATGTCTCTTATTAGAATCGTAAAATCTCTCTGGTTTAATGTATTCATTCGAGAGTGAAATGCACTTGAAATGCATCTGTTCGCTGCACATTCTACTTTTGACCACATTTTATACGATACTAGAAAATGTTTACACAAGGAGATTAATTAAATCCAGTCATATTGTTGCAATAATTCGAATGATAGATATTTTAGCGATTGGAGAAGTGCGTATAATACGTAAAAAATTGCGTTTCACATACTATTTCTGTTGCGAGTTTTTAAAATTACCAACTAGCATTAAAAAATATAAACAACTATTTATTAGTAGTATTATTTTGTAAGATTTTTTATATTTTAAACCATCGTTATAACAAAACATCATCATTTCCAGAGTATTCAACCACTTTCAATTGTGGTGTAGCCTCCCTTCATTATTTTACATTATACCGGGTGTTGCATCGTCGGACGGGACATAGGAAATCCCATGTAAATTTTAATGGGGTCGATTATTGACTTCCCTAATTATTTTAGAGAATAATTCTATTTAGGTTTATTGAAGAGCACTAAAACCGACATTCAAAAGAATAACTTTAGATATTTTTTATTAGCTCGTTTACGAGTTAATTACAGTTGAGGGTTGGAACCTTTGGTGTTAAACAGCAAAATAAAAACACTAAATCACCACAATACACCAAAACACTTTTACTTTTACACTGGACGCGCGTTTCGCTAACCATGTTAGCATCATCAGCAGATGATTATAAAACAGTTTTGTTTATTTTTTGATTATAAAACAGTTTTTGTAATATATTTATATGTTGTTGAGTTTTGCAACATGCAATCATGCTGAGTGCAACAAATATGCTTTTTGTACATGTTGTAGAATGTAGTAGAATGTTTAGGAGGGGAGTTAATCACCGCGACCTTATAGATCTATTGTGTGTTCCCCTTTCTTGAGTTATAACGAGTTATAACTCATCATACAGTCTCAGGGCTTTAAGAAAAGCCAGTATCTGAGACGGCTCCACAGAGGCCAGCTCTCCATCCTCGACATCAGAAGTACCAAGGGTAAAAAATGGAACAATACAATATGATAGACCATTACATTGTGCATCTGATTCACGTAAAATATATAGGGTGTTCCGTTTAAATTAAACAAATTATTGCCGTTTAAAGCTAGTAATTACTTAATATACATTTTTGGACACTCTGTATAAGGTAGTAAAATTTTTATTATTGCAACACAATATCTGATCAATAAATAATCTTCAGTAAATATTTAGTATTAAAAACTTTGATACCCTTGGGGAAATAAAGCCTTAAATTTTTTACTGCAATTTTATAAAATTGAAAATATTTCAAAAACCGTAAGGTTTAAGTGTGATAAACCTTAATCAAATTTACCTTTATTTCAATCGTAGAATCCAAAAATAGAATAATATACAGGGTGTTCCATTTAAAAAAATACAACTATAATATTTTTTATTTATTTGGGACCCTCAGTATCTTGTAAAAATATTTTTAAATTGTAGCTCTAATAGTCCTTCAACGAACCCAAAACTTACAATTTGTAAAAATCTCATCGTTTAGCTACAATACTCCGTGTCGTATGTGGTGAACAACCCTGTATATAAACATTATTTTAAATAAGATATTAATATTAATTACTGTAACAAGTGGGAAAATAAAATTGCGAACACAACATTGCGGTCATCAGCACGATAATGACATTAAACGCATTATCTACACCGTTATAAATTTTCGCGATTTCTTTGTTTATAATCGGCTAAGTT